TGAGACATAACTAGAACCGTGGTTCGTGACCCTACCAGAACACGTGCTGTCTCGCATTTGGCCTTCTTTAAACAAGGACTTCGTTTTTCTCTGTCGGGAGCTTGACCTCCATGTGACGGGACCTCTGCTGGATGTGGCAGCCAGCTTTGGACTCTGGGGAGGGATTGGCTCTTCCACACCCGTCAGTTCTTCCTAGGGAAGATACCCACGGGCTCAGCACACACCAGGTGCTTTCCCCAGACCAACAAACTCTGGGCAGAGCTGTAGAATTATTTCTCTTAAACAATGACAAGTCACAAGCTGCCCTGTGGATGAGGGGAGTAGGGTCCAGGAGAAAGGATGTGTGTGTCTGCAGTGGGGAACAGGGATATGGCGGGCAAGAAGATCCCTGTGCAACCGAAAGCTCAGAGTACTGACATTTGCCAAAGAACATTCCTCTACCCCTGATCCACTGGCTGGGAAAGGAAAGGGCTCGTGGTTCTCCACATGTGCTTTCTGCCTCTCCCCCTGCTGTAGAAGTGCACTAGTATTGCTTTAAATTGAATTGTTTTTCTAAAGCTTTCTATTCAAGCTCTGGATAGCTTATGACCAATTCTGAAAATGCACCTACCTCCAGCTACAATCGTTAAGCATCCACAGACACACGGAAAACATTCCTCCTTTGCTCCAGGATGTTCTCTCCTTTGCCTTTTCATCTCCCCTTCCCCCCACCTCCAAATGAGTTTAGGTAGATCTGAATTCTAATCAGTTTGATTGGTTGTTCTTAATGTGAATTTAAATTGAACTAGAGGCTGTTGAACAGCGTTCTGGGGCTCCCAAGTTGCTCAGCTGGGACTGGAGGCATTTCTCTCAGCCCCCAGAAAGGAGTGGTGGCCTGCCTGGGTTTGATAGTCAGTGCAAGATGCTTCTGACTGCATCTCATTAACTTGTAGGTGATAGGGTTTGAGGAGTAGATAATTTTCTTTGACCTTGGTCTCTTAGGTCAGACAGGGAAAGCTTTCTAGGGAGTGATCCAGTTCTTGGATCAACAAGATCCAAGACACTCAGTTCATGGTAGCACTTTGCCCCTGGGCCTGAATATCTAAAATAAAGGAAGGGAGGGAGATGCTGGAAAGCGTCCCCATCCCTGCACATCTCCCTCCCCACTTCTGTCCTACCCAAGGGTTGCGAAAGGCAGGCTGGGCCATGCTTACTTTAAGAAACATCAGCACCCTATTTCTTAAACCCAAAAGATAGCAATGTACATCGAAGAGAGAAGAGGATCCCTTGAACCTCTCTTCATGGCGGGAGCTGAGCCTTCCAGTGAGGTGCCAGTGGTGCTGGCTTTGAAGTCCTACAGACTGGCTTCTCTTTGTTCTTGATTGCATATAGTTAAAATCGTTCTATTTTAATTAATATATCAAATACCCACCACCCAAGTATGTAGAGGTTAATATTTTGCGACTTTTAACAGGGAAATTATATATTACAAATACCATTAAAGCTCATCCACCTCCCCAAGCCCTCCCTGCCCCCTCAGTAATCTGTATCCAGAAGGTGGAGTCTGTCATCCCCATGCATATTTTTGTACTTAACTACGAACGTCCATGTGCATAGCATTGCTTTGCATGGTTCAAAAGTGATGTTGAGCCACACAGATTGTTCTGTGGTCAGTCCCAAAGCTGCTGCTCACTTGTCGAAATCTTGGACAAGGTGAATCACCTTTTTGAGCCACAGGGAAATGTGTTAAGATGCCAGTTGTATTAATCCTAGCACCATCAAGGTGGGCAAGGATCAAGGCCTGCTTGATACCATGGAGGCAGAATCAAGAGGGCTTTTTGCCTACTTTGATGTGTGGAATGACAAGGGTGATTCTAGTGCAGGAACTTAATGAATCTGGTGCAGATTAATGTCAGTCACTGAGATGAGGAGCACACAGGGTGACGCTGGTCTGGGAACATAAGGTGATGAATTCACTTTTTGACCTGTTGAGTTGGAAGTGCCTGCAGCCCAGCAAGGTAGACAGGTTGAGGAGGCAGCTGGACATTTGAACCTGAAATTCAGGCAATGGTCCTAAGGTGGAGTTGGTTCTTTGGATTCCTGTAGCACCCAGTGCACATTACCTTTGAGCGGGGAGGCAGCTCCGTGTGGGTGACTCCAGTGCACCTTTCCCTGGGATCCATGGTGTGAGTCACCCTCACCCGATGTCTGCAGCACTCTGCACAGGTGGTAACAAGAGGCCTGGGCTGAATCACCTAGTTGTCAGGTCAGCTTCAAAGCTTAGAGTTACATTGGAAACATTTGTTCTCCTCTAATAACCTGTTTGATTTTCTCGTTCATGAAATTACATAAATCCTCTTTGGAAGATAATTTCTCCTTTCAGACTTGACCAGGCCTTCATGTTAATAAATTCACAGACTTTATTATTAGCCCCTGCATATGCTTCTTTTTATTTGCCTGAGCTTCCCCCCCCCCCGCCACCTTGCTATATTTCAAGGAGCCCCCACCTCTTCTGGAACTGATCGTGATACGTGTGTTGTATCCTGTATATTGTTCACTCCCCGGGCATTGGGTCTGGGAATCCTAATCTTAGGTCTGCCTGAAGTGAGTACCTCGAGGACAGGAACCGGGTGGGCCATTCACTGTTCTTTGTCCCTCACTGCAGACCTAATTCAAGGGCCTTCGGTCCATCTTCACCAGCTAGCAGCTGGCTTTTCATAGGGAAGCCTGTCTTTTTTGCTCAAAGGGGAGATACCTGCCCAGTCCCTGAAAAAAGCCCAACAAGATGTCCCAACAGGCCTCCTTTTGGATGATAGGAATCCACCCAGAGTAGCTCCAGCGAAAGTGTGGGGTGGCATGGGGGAAGGCAGCTGCTTTTATTATAGCTGGAAGGATCCAGAAAAATCTGGGAAATTGGGACTAGGAGACAGCTATGGATGGAGTGGGACCCGGAAGCAGCTCCGGGACCAGGTTTTCACTCTTCCGTGTCTCTGTGCTTGCTTTCCTCACGGGCTCCCACCGTCTTCCTTCCTCCTCCTCTCCCTCCCATGCCCTCTCGGTCATGCTTGGTCTCAGTCACTGTCTGGTCCCTCTGATCACCAACGGTCTGTCCCGGTCTTCCCCTTTCCTCCTGTCAACTCTCACGTGGCTCTCTTTCCACCTCTGGCCCCCAAAACTGGCAGCTGCCTTCTTCAGAACTTGTGTCTGGCTCCTAATCGCCCAGACTCCGACACCAAGTGACCTTTCTGCTCTATAGCCCATGGCCATCTGGCAGGAATCTCTCTGCGTACCGGATTCTGAGCTCCTGAGAGAGGGTCTGATTGGTACAGTGCACCCTCCAGAGCCTGGCCACGTCCCAGGCTCCTGGCCAGCCTAGAGATGGGTCCCCCTTGGGTCAGACACACCCGGGCCGGTCAGCAGTGCCAGGGGGCCGGGATTACAGAATTCCCTCCCTCCCCGCCAGGGGGCTGTGGGTGGGGCTGGAGTCCCTGAGAAGGGGGTTTGTGGGGACAGGAATCACCGGGTACATCTGGCACGAGACCCATATCCTAGAACCACCCCCCAAATTAGTGTATATCACGGAGGTGATCCTAAATTTGATTCAAGCTATGAATGGGAAGTCAGGGTTTAGAAACTGTTTCCAGTCACCTCTGCATTAATTCAAGGGTACACATCTCTGAAGTGATGAATTTAACATCTTCCAGCCATACCAAACATGGCATGAAATTAAACTTTCAGGCCAAGTGTTTCATTTAATGCATACATTAGAGTTCAGGCATGGACTTGGTTGCTTCTGAACAAAATCATCTTGGTGCATAAGACAGAGAAGGGAACGAGGCTGTTTTTCCAGCCATGAAGACTTCTGATACGTGATTTGAAACATGCCTCCCACAAAATGGAGAGCCCTTTGTAATATCCCCCACCAGGGCAGCGCATGGCAGAGGGCAGGCCCTGAACCCGTCTCAGAACACGGTGAGGAGGCTGGGAAGCGCTGCCGCCCTCCCCCCAGCAGAGCCCCTTGCCCTTCTCTGAGCTCTGTGGCTGCTGGTGCCACACCCCTACATCCCTTGCGGTCTCTAGTCATAGAACTGGCCAGTAATACATTTTCCTGGAGTGTGTGAAAATGGGCTTGGAATGAGAAAAAAAACTTGTCCCACTTTTATACAACTGGAAAACATTACAGAACTTGAATCTTTCAAACTTAACAAAAAAAAAGAAAGAAAAAGCAACCTACAAAATCCAGCTTAAGCTACTTAGTCACACGGAAACGTGAAGAGGAAGGGAAAATAAGTCGCTTCCACTTCACAGGTGGTTTTGATTTAGAAAATGTGCCTCGAAATTCAGTACAGAAAAGAGGTTTTGTTTTGCTTCTAATAAAAATGAAACTACTTTTGAATGGTTCAGGGTTCATTGAAGTTTACATTTAATCTTTTTTCCATTTTTTGTCTACCTGGATATGCTCATTATCTCGCCAGATGCCGAGTCAATCAATGTATATTGTGGGAAACTCTCGTCTCCCCTTCATCCCAACTAGGTGGGATCCAGTTCTGACAACATGCGTTAATCATCACTAGAAATACTGGCAAGAGCTGGGGATGTTTGCGTTCCTCGGGGACAGCTTAGCATCTCCAGATAAATATTGACTGCCTTCTCTGAGCTTTCCTTCCCCAAACTTCCTACCCCATAGGGCAGAGGAGCCAAATGCAAAGTGCTGGGTCCCTGGTAATTTACAAAGTGGGGATAATACTTTAAAGCACTTGGCCTTGAGCTATCATTGGTATTCAGTAATATACTGCTACATAATATGTTCCTCCTCGCAGAATTGTATGGCGGCAGTATGACTATGTTTGCCCTCAAAATCCAGTCAGATTACTTTTGAAAGAAATATTATGGGTTGGAATGCCAAATTCCTGCAACCTCTATATTAAGAACTCTGTCTCTGTGGCCTCCAGCTGTGAGGCAGGTTGTTACAAGAATGAAAAGAAAAAAATAAATGCCTTCCCTTTGTGTTCCCTCTTTAGAATAAGAAAATCTATTTGGACATAATTCACACCTACATGGAAGTACACGCGACTGTTTATGGCTCCAGCACGAAGAATATTCCCAGTTACGTGAAAAACCACGGTATCCTCAGTGGACGAGACCTGCAGTTTCTTCTCCGAGAAACCAAGGTAGGTTTTTAGTGATTTTTGTAAAAATCCATCAGTGGTGTGGTTTACAGTCTGTTTCCGTTCGTGTTGCAAATGGGGTCAGATTCTTACGCGCTGTCCTTTCAATGCTGCAGTAACTCGTTCGGTCATTTCCAGGCAGTGGCTTTCTAGATCAGCTGTGGCTTTAAAGTTAATCGTGGAAGGACGTTGCTACGGTTTAAAACTTACTTACCAAGGACCCTCGCTGTGCCAGGCATCCAGCGAGGGCCTGGGGATACGGTGGCAACCAGGAAAGGTAAGGCCCTGTCTTGAGCGTCAGACCTCATGATCAAGCAGCGGCTGTCACAGCAAGCTTGCCTGGGGTGCCTGGCTCCCTCACCTCCCCACTGGCTCCATTCAAGGAATCGACCCCCCAACTGGCTTTTCCTCACGCCTCCTCATTCAAAAAGCTGGTGGTGGACCCTGAAGAAGTTCAGACAGGGCAGCGGGGGAGGGGGAGAGAGAGTCCCTTTGGGCTCAGGGAGAAGGGAAGACACTGTGAAAGATTTGGAGATGGGTGCTGGGCAGGGCAGGCCTGGCATCAGGAGAGACGGGGGAGGGCCACGTGGTGGAAGCAGAGAAGACACATTCCGGAGGGAGCCACAAAGCCACCCAGCTGTTCTGTTGCCGGGGAAAGAGTGGGAGGAAACCTTCGCTGAGGGGCTGAGGGCCTGACTATGGCAGACATAGATGGACCTCAGACCCCAACAGGTAGGTACCTGGGGGAGCCACTGATGGAGAACTATTTTAGTTGAGCGATGAAAACATCATTTTGCCCCACTGCCTATAATTCTGCTGGGAAAGTACCACGTGACCTTAGGGGACTTGCAAATAGACCAGAGTTTGGCTTTGAAGAGCCAGACATGGTGCAAGGGATATTAGAGTGAAGAAGACAAGTGAGGTCCCTTCCTTAAGGCACAGGACAGCTTGTTATCAACAGTGACTGTCTCAGGTCTGGGCCCTGGCTGGCTGGTGGGGTTTTCGCTCGTAAGGTAGGGGGAAGGCTGAGTGGGTGAGAGGCTCTGTGGCTTAAGAGCGATTTCTCATCGTTGTGTGACACTTGGATTTGGGAAAGCATATTCACACACGCTGCCCTGTTGGATTCTCACAACAGCCCAAAGAGGTAGGTGGAGAAGGTGCTGTTGTTAACTTCACCGTAATCAGGAGAAAGTAGGCTAGAGCATTCGGCTGGCCCATAGTCACTCACTTTGCCTGGCAGGCGACCCTGACTCATGGATTGATTGATTGATTGATTGATTGAATCCAAATTTAAAGCTCTGCTAGGCCCTTAAAGGCACCATCCTCGTGAGTAAACACCCAACCTGGAGAACACTTAATGCACACTCACCAGCCAACAGCATATGCAACTCCTTTCTGCCTCAGTTTCTCTGTATGGGAATGCATTTAATCATTTCTACTCCAAGTCATTTTGGTGATGCCATGAATAAAACAGATAAATTATTTATCTCCTTGGCCAAAGATCTGGTTTGTACTAATTAAGATCTCATTTCCTTGCAAGGTCATCTATAGTCCAATGACTGTTCGTGGCAACCCAGGAGTGAAGTGTGTTTGTTCCCCAGTTTGTACTCTCAGCTTCCCGTTCTTTTTCTGTCTCAGGATGACATTTTAGAATCGTTAGAATGTCCAGGCCCTTTAGTGGCAATGCTATTTTTTGCCATTTGCCTCATTTTACTTTTCCCCACATCAGATGGTGGGAAAAGCTCAAGCTCCTTTAAAATTACATTTGGCAGCACTGGTTTTCAACAGCGTGTCATTACTGTCTCGCGCACTCCTATTAACCCAGCCTTGTGAATGTCTTACTCAGCCTTGGAAATTTTAAAAGAACCCTTACTTCCCCTACCATCCACTTACCCTATCAGAGAGTGGGAAATAGGCCGAAGCTGGGGCCCCTGATGTGTCCCGGGGAGGAAAAGAGAAGAGGCCTGTGATGTCCGAGCCGTGATGTGGGAGATCACCTAACGGCCGAGGACTGTGGCTGAATTTTGAGCGTGAGGGGCATATATTTATCCTTGAGAAACTGGTGCCTTCACAGGATGTCACTGATCCCATTTCGGATTGCCTGTTCATCTGACTGGAATATATTAAAACACTCCGAGTGGAATTACGGCTAAAACAGTTGGTAAATACGATGAAAATGAGGCCTTGTGTTGCAGAGACTCCCCTCATACCCAGAATGCAGCAGCAGGCACAGAAACGAATGGATCCTGGGCTTTGAAATAATGACACTAAAGACCAGTCAGGCTTTGCATTTATAACCCTTTCTCCCTCTAACTCCTTCCTCTGTGTCTCTGAGCAATTTAAAAGCGATTTATTCCAATCCACGTTGAAAGTTGAGAACTGGAGATTCAGAGAAGCAAATGGTCGGTAGAATGAATGGGATCCGCACGCTCGTCAGACTCACTGAGAGGGAAGGGAGTCTGGCGCTCCTTCAGGTTGGGAGACAGGTGGAACTGATTGATGCTGAATCAGCTCCTCATTGTTTTTCTTTATGAGCCGTCTTTGAAGCCCTGCACCCAGGCCCAGGAAACCCCATGCTCGGCAGCATTTCTCCCCGTCGGGCCACAAGGGCCCACGTGTCATTAGCTGGCTCCAGCCACAGGGGGCCTCTGAAGCTGGAGGAATTTGGTGTGACACTAAAATTGGGGCTAAAAGAGCCAGGAAGTTGTTGAATCTAACACTCTTCTAATAAGCATATAAATTTGGATGAATTAATTATTTATCAGAGGACCATAGACAAGGCTTTCAGTCCAGCAGACTCCAGGAGTACCACTGAAGCACGCACTGGGTGGCATGTTTTTATTTGGGGGTTAAGACCTCCTCTCTTTTAATGTGATTTCTTTCTTCTCCTTCCTAATTTTAACCTCTTCCTGCCCACCTCTCCCCCCCCAACCCCAGTCTGAGCACCAGAAGCTCCTTATAGAAGGGACATTCCCATCCTACACTAGACTGGAGGAGCATTTGGAGTGAGGCAGAACAGGTACCTCCCTTTCTACAGTAAAAAGCTGAGAGCAAATTCTGGCTGTGGAAAACAAGGGGGGGAAGCTGCTGCCGTTCATGCTGTTGCTGTACCCCTTCGCTACCCCAGCCTCTGGCCGTTCACCCTCCAGCACTTGGGCGGGTCATGACAGTCCTGTTGCCCTACCATGTCAACTCATCAGCTTGGCTGTGGGACTCACCTAGCAGCCTGGGCAAGGTTGGAGGTATACAGTATGTACTGTCCCTGTTCCATCCCATCCCCATGTCTGATCCCCCATCAAGCAGGACTTTCCCCACGAGCTTGGATGCAGTTGAGCAATCTCTCAAAAATCCAGGGCTTGAGGTGGCCACCACCTCAAGGTGGTGGAACCAGACTCTCATGCAGCTCCGTGATGAGAGAGGGGCTTTGCCTGTTCTGTTTACAGGTGTGTTTTCAATGCCTAGAACAGTGCCTGGCTTGTCGAAGGCCTTCGGTTAATTCTATAAAGAATGAAGGAAAGAGGATGAAATCCATTAGCCATCTGGGATCTTGGGACCGTGCCCGTAAGAGTCATTTCTTGCTTTACTCATGAATCACGTACCTAAATCGCCAAGACTTCCACAGCGGGTGACTGTCCTTCTGACAGCCCATGCCTGCCTCTCCACCGTATTGCCCACACATCACACAGGTGTGACCTGTGAGAGAGAGCCCCAGCGCTTACTAACTGATGGAGCAGTCCATCTTCCATCTTCCATTTCAGACACAGAAATATGTGCCCTCAGATAGTCAAGGAGGCTTCATCCTCGTGGCCAATGCCTAAAGTTACTCCCATTCCAGCCAGATGGGGAAAAAAATTTAGGTACACACATACTCTCTCCCTCTTGCCCTCCCATGTACGTGTGTAGAATGCAGTGGATAGTGAGGTCATTCAGTATCTTCTCTGACTTCAGGAACAAAAGCACATCCGCCCACTCAAATACACACGAAAATGTTCAGCATCTCCTCATCCTCACAGAGACACTTGATTGCTGGAAAGATCTCATCTATTAGTATTTATTCTTTTGCTCATTTTTCTGACAAACATGTATTCACTACCGAATACATTCCAGGCCTTACTCCGGGCATTTTTGCTACAGGGATGACTAAGGCAGTTTTGCCCACCAGTGTTTACACAGATGTGGTAGAGGAGACAAACAGGTAAACTGGGGACCTATCGCAATGTGAAAAGTGCACAGGTAGAAGTAGTAATAATAAAAAAGAGGGACACCAGCGTAAAACTTCTGTGATGCTGTAAGCAGGGTCAACCATTTAGTCTTACAAAACACTGCACTGTGACTTGTGATGTCCCTTAAATAACAGCAGGAGGTTGCTCTGGAGGACGGGAGCCGACTATCAGCCGCATTTTAACATGGCGCATCCGTGTTACTGTGGTGCACACGATCACGGAGATTTACTATAGTAGTACTAGCCATTCTCTCTAACCCTTATCTGTGCCCTCTCCGTGAGTTTGTCTCTTGTCACAAGAACCCTCTGACCTCAGTACCATGAGAGCCCATCCTTAATGTGACGGCGAATAGGCCTGTTGTGCTGCCTCACACCTTGTAAATAGTAAACAGTTCGTGCTGGGCAGCTGAAGATGGTTGGCATCTACTGTTAGAAACTTATCCAGATATTTCTCTTAGCTACCCCCCCATCTACAAGTTAATGCATTTATAATGCAAATTGCAGTGCATGGGATTTTGAACTGGCATTTCCAAATGAGCGAAGTGGGTGAACTTTTGGTCTTGGTTATTATTGTTTGTGTTGTGTTGGGTTTTGTTTATGAAAGACCACTTGGGTAGCAAGGATAGTCTGGCTGCCTACCCAGTGAGCTGGTCTCTAGGAAATAGCCTTTGACATAGCAGCCAATTCTGACAACCTTTGGGCATTTAAACATACTTGGTGTATATCATTGTCTTGTCTCCTTTAAACCTTCTAGCTCTTTACAAGAGAATCTTCTTGTAGTTCAGGTTAGGGACATGGGCAGCCCATGAGAGGGTATAGCCAAACCTGAATGGGAGCGATTTTGGCCACTATTCTCTTCCTTCAAGCATCGAGTGCAGAAGGCCAGACACGCGTCCAGGGAGAGACCCTTTAGGCTACATGAAAGCATCACCTCTCAGGAGAATACATTTCCTCCATACTTGGCTACCATATGGATTCTGTTTAAAGCTATAAAGATTCTTTTTAAAGTTATATTACCAAAAATAGGGGGATTCCCAATCATTATATGAAGAAGAAACAAGGTTAGCAATAGTACATGGCTCATGGGACTGGCCTTTCCACGAGGCAGCCACCATAACCCATGTCTCCTCACTCTTCTGATGGATGTCCCTCCCCTTTTTTTTAGTCCAGGTACTTTATGGAATAGGGAGAACTTGCAAATACACATGCAGGTGCCAGGCATCTTGTAAACCGCACAACCACAACTCAGGCACACCTAAGCTCTAGCTAAACAGTACAAGGTCATGTGTGTGTGCAGCTGCATGAAGTTGAATCTGGATTCTGACTCCTGTTCAGTGAACATTTACTTCAGTGCCAAACCTTTGGAATACATCATTTCCATGAAATATCTCATTTAATCCCCTCAGTAGCCCCATGAAATAAAGCACTATTGCGCCATTTTACACATGACAAGACAGTTTAGAGAGCTTGTGTAACCTTGACTGAGGTCCCGTAGCTGGAGAGAATACGTTATAATGGACCTCAGCTAATCTGTAGGAAGAGTCATGTAACAATTTCCCACAGTTAGAGAACTAGGAAGTGAGGCCATCAGGGTTTGAACTTTGGTCGGCCTGAGTTTAGACCCTGTGCTGTCAGTTCCCACATTGTCCTGATCACTTTGTGCCAGCGTTCAATTTGTTGGATAAGCTAAGATTGATTCATTGTTCAAACTCCCTTCTGAGCCACTCCACCAATTTAGCTAGGTCACGCTAGTCAGAAAAGCTTATGTGGTGCGCATGTCTTCTATTTTGGATTATCTTGATGTTCCCCATCAAGAGTGACTGGAAACTGACCAAATTCATGTGGAGTCTTCCTAAGAACCACTTTGATCCATGTTGAAAGGATTCCTTGTTAACTGCTCCAGTTAGGGGTTTAGAACAATTCTGTTTCTCCCTTTCACACAGGGTAAGACTCCTAGTGGTTTTACTGAGCCGTTTGTGGACGTGTAGGAATGTCCCAATCCTGTGCTGTGAATAAAATCTCTGGTGCTTCATCCGTTTTCTCTTGCTTAGTATTAGTTCAGAGATTTAATTGTAGAGCATGTAATCCCTGGGTTTAGAAATGCTTATTGATGGGAAGGAGTTGCAGCCATGACGATGTTCCGTCATCTGGAATACCCTCATTCAATTCAGGGCTTCTGAAGACCAGATGAAGTATAAATAAAATATGCCCAGTTTCCTCTCGAACAGTGAAGCTGTGCTTGAATGCATTCTTGTGCTGTGTCTCTTGCCTGCATGCTGAGGATGTCTGTAAGTAGCACAGTACTGGGGAAGCTGGGGACTTGGGGGGAAGGAAGTTTAGTACGGTGAAGACACCCATGTGTGCCAAGGCCATGGGACTCAGGAGTTTAAGGGCTACCCTTTGCTGGTGAGGAGCTCGCTCTGCCTACCCTTCTTGTGATTCAAACCTCAAGAGTGCTATTTGACCTTAATCTGTCTGCTCCATTATAATATCACAGGTATTGAGTACACAGGAAGCAAGGAAAAATTGCTTATTGACAGAAATGACAAAGAACTGTTATTTTGGTGTTTCTGAGTTGTGCATTTCCTGCAATCCTAATTAGCGTGACAAGAAAACTCATTGCCAAGAAATTGTATGGTATTTGCTTAAGCTTCATTCTCAAATTGTGAGGCTTTGGAGAGTTAGCCCGAAATGTTTACTTTTTGTGTACTGAGATGTTTCGATGCCAGCAGGGCAGCCGAGACGGTGCAAATTGTTATTCAGATATAATTAAACCTAGGTCACATTCAAGTCCATTAAGCAACAGCCCCAAATCCTTTTAATTAATGGGTTCAGATTGGTTGGTCTAAAGGAGCTAATTAAATTTTTTTCCAGGACTTTCTATTTAAATAATCATTGTGCATCCTGCATTTTCTCCGAAGTTCTTGGCAATTTAAGTTTGATGAAGTTATCAGCACTTCATGGCAGGCCCTGATTTTCAGAGGTCAGGACACATTGTGGGCTCTGGGTCTCTGGTTAAACCCACAGAGCCCCCCGTCTGCATCTTCCAGCACCTTTCTTCTCAGAGTCAAAAGGATCTGGAGGCCCTATGCTTTCCTGCAACCTGAGAGAGGTCATCTTTCCCCTGGAGAGCCTGCGTATCCTCCCCAAAATCTGATAGGGAGGGCGGATCGCAGAGCTCAAAAGCCTGAAGGATGGTAACCCTGGATTTTTCATATTTAATAAAGCTGTGATGTCTTGGGATGAGTCCTTCCCACTCTTGCCTTCCATTTCTTCTGCTGCTGTCAGGCATCCTACCCCATCCCCACCCCTGAGCCGCATGCTGAGGCCACACACTACATACTTAAGTTCACTCTGATAATCTCATTCCTTTCAGCTACTTAAGAAGAGTAAGATCCAAGGGCACCTGGGTGGCTCGTTCGGTTAAGAGTCCAGCTCCTTTTTTTAAAGATTTTAGTTACTCATTTGAGAGAGAGAGAGCATGAGCAAGGGGAGAGGCAGAGGGAGAGGGAGAAGCGGGCTCCCCGCTGAGCCAGGAGTTAGACGCGGGGCTCAATCCCAGGACCCTGGGATCATGACATGAGCCGAAGGCAGACGCTTAACCATCTGAGCCACCCAGGCGCCCCAAGAGTCCAACTCTTGATTTTGGCTCAGGTCATGACGTCGGGCACCAAGCTCAGCTGGGAGTCTGCTTGGGATTCTGTCTCTCCCTCTGCCCTCCTTCCATGCATTCTCTCTCTCCCTCCCAGCCTCTCTCTCTCTCTCTCTCTCTCTCTCTCTCTCTCTCTCAAATAAGTAAATAAAATCTTTAAAAAAATAACAGTAAGATCCAGAAACAGGGCCTCCAAGTGGTGGTGGAGATGCCCCTTATATTCTACATCTTCCAGGCTCCTACTAACATGGTGTTCCTCACCCATGTCTCCAGTGGTTCTGCCCAAGGGCTAGTGCCCCCGGCTGTCAGTGGGAGCTCTGCTGGCCGCACAGCTGCTCTCCTCAACTCCTCCAGTGGATGTCCCTGGCAGTATATTTGGTCATCTCAAAGTTTACAGGAAATGAAAGGTTATTCCTCTGAAACAAACAAAGGTTAAGTGCCCTGTTTTGTGCAAAAGAACATACAGTTCAAAAACCTGGGGTTTTTGTTTCTTGTCCCAGAAAAATCCCTGTGGGGGCTACAGTATGTCCAGCATGGGCCATGCTCAGTGTTCAGTCCCGAAACTGAGTGCCCAGCACAAACTTCCTGCGTCTGTCAGTGGTGCCCAGGGAACCCCGGCCGCTGGGACTCAGGTCTCTCCACATGGAAGCATTCTAAGTAAGCGTTCCATTTCAGCAGCCGCAAAGACAGAATCACTGGGGAGAGGGCCCCAGGAAAGGAGAATCAGGCCTGCCGTGTATCCACTTTGCCAATATCCTTCACTCTCGGGGCCTGGCTGCATGGGTGTTCGTCAGCGTGATGGCAGAAGGGAACGGTGCCGTGGGGCCCCGTTATCGTTTGGTGATGGATGTGTCTCCTGAGGCTGAGTGATCTCAGCCTTGGCTCCTTGGTGCGGTAGGGAGATCTCACACCTCCCCAAGGCCAGACTTGGACCCTGCCATCGATGGCTTCTAGCCCTCCAGCACTGTGAAGGGTCCCGAGGGGAAGAGCTGCACTGAGGCATTTCCCTGAGATGCTGTTTCGGTTTCGGACCCAGAAATGATTGCCAGTGAGCTGCAGCAAGGCCCCTTTGTCCCAGCAGCTCGGAGCTTGGGTTTGCAGGAGGGCTTGGAGAGTGTGTTTTGGCTGCCATCTACCGTCTGCCGTGGGGAACGCGCGTGGTGTGCTTGCCGGGGAGGGAAGCCGCCTGACCAGTGGAGCCACTCAGCACCCTCTCCCCTCCGCTGAGGGGGAGATAAAAACAAAGTTGTTGGTGTCCCCCAGTGAAAACCCCATTATGAAAACCTGTGTTTACCGACCTACCATCATTTTAAAGCAGCTCCATTTGAACTGTAATCAAACCGCCAAGTGACCTTTCTGTCCCCCCGCCCAGCATCCCTGAAAGGGCCTGTTGTTCCTTTGGTTCAGTGAAGAAGCCTTCTGTTTAGTTAAGCAAGTGTTTTTCCAGTCATGTCTCCTGTTGAGTTACAGAAAGATTATTGTTGGGTCTTGGTTTTTGTTGTTGTTTTTTATTCTTTTAATACTGCTGCGTCCCTACCCCCTCAACTGCTCACCTCTCCCTCAGTCCCCACGCTCATTTCTTTACTTTTTTTTTTTTTTTTTTTTTGCAGAGGAGAACATAATGAGCTGAGCAGCTTCCTGGGCCTGTAAAGGTCCCCGGTCCTGTTTCTCAGCTCCTGATGTGAGCTGCTTTCTCTTCACCTCACCCCCCCAGGGTCTGGGAACCTTCCAGAGTCTCTGAGGCTTCCACGTGGGAATGAAGCACAGAATAGCCCCCTGTGAGCCAAGGACGCCAGTCCTGATTGAAGTGTTTATATATGGTGTGCTTTTCTGTCTTACAGTTGTTTGTTGGACTCGGGTTCCCTTATGAGGGCCCAGCTCCCCTGGAGGCCATTGCAAATGGATGTGCTTTTCTGAATCCCAAGTTCAGCCCACCCAAAAGCAGCAAAAACACAGACTTTTTCATTGGCAAGCCAACTCTGAGAGAGGTAAGCATCTATAAAAAAAATCCTTCTTTTAACAGTATGAGTACTAGCTACTTACTGAAGGCTAGGGGCCTGTTCGAACCTCATAGCCTTGGACAGTAGGTATCGTCAACATCATTTAACATAGCTGGGTGGAAGAGGGGTTGGGCAGGGGCTCAAGGAGGAATGGCTGATGCCCTGTCCTAACCAGGTGGTGGCACAGCCAAGACTTGCATCTACTTCTGCCCCTCTCCGAACTATGGCATCTTTTCACTCTGCCTCAGCTCTACCCTAATTCACACAGACCTCTCCAGCCTTCTCAGTGGCTGAGCTCTGACTTTTTGAACGTCTAGAGTTTATGGAATAAGGAAATCCACTGGCTAACAGGCATTTTTGAAGAATGTGCTCTCCACGATGGGCTGTGGGGAATAGAGAGTATGTCGTGGGGGTCCTTCGCTGTCCACCCTGAGAGACAAGACAGATGATGGGCAACTGAAGTCACGTGCCTGGTATTTTCAGCCTCCGTCCTTGGGCACCATCCTGAGAACTAATCCTGCCATTGCTCGAACTGTTGGCAGAAGCCTTATTTGAATTGCTTTCAGAGATCCTCTTAAAAAATCCACAGCAGGTGATGAATCGCCACTGAAGGCAGTTGGATTCGATTTGGGGCAATCAACAAGTCATTTAGAGCATGTGGGTGATCAAGGTGGTGTTTCTGTATCTAGTCAGAAACAGGTGTGTGCAAGAAACCATAAGATTGATCTTCTTCTTATTTCTGTGGCTCTGTGGGCTGCTCCCAAGGAGGAAGCCTCTCCAAGCTGGAGTCCTGGTAGCACCCCTGTCATCCGGGGCCTTCCCCTGGGGGACGACCCGGGTGAACCCCCATAATGTAGCTGCAGTATAGCAGCACTGTGTTTAAAGTGCACGGTTTTCAGTTCTGCTACTTTTAAACCTTTTTGGGTCGACTGAACACCCCCTCCCCCAAATGATCATTTTTCATTGATCAGAGATCTTACCAATTCACGGAGCTTATTATTTTGAGAATGCTTTTTTCTGACCACTGGAGAAAGGGCCAAAGGAGGTGGAGGAAGAGGATTGAGATCCATAGATAATCCTTTCAAAAAGGACAGTCTGTGGCCCATACAACCTCTGACAGGGGGTAACTGTGGGTGTGTTGACTTGCACGCTTGCTTTTCCTTCTGCTCAATACAGTACATTTGAATTCTTCCTTACAGGGAGCCGTTCCTCAGCAATTTTTTTTTTAAAGATTTTATTTATTTATTTCACAGAAAGAGATAGCAAGAGCAGGAACACAAGCAGGCGGAGGGAGAGGGAGAAGCAGGCTCCCCGCAGAGCAGGGAGCCCGGTGCGGGGCTCGATCCCAGGACCCTGGGATCATGACCTGAGCCGAAGGCCGACGCTTCACGACTGAGCCACCCAGGCGCCCCGAAGTCGTTCCTCAGCAATTCTTAATGCACACCTGTGTGCCAGGTGTTGGGGGAGGCGCCAGTACACAGATCAGGAGTGTTCAGCCTGGCACCGAACAGCTTATTCTTTGGAATGATCTGAAGAGACGCTCCCCAGCAATGAGAACATCTCAGTTTAGGAATCTCTGCTCTACCGTGTGTCTGACTTCTTTGAAACTTTTAGGATAGAGTTTAGGATAGAAAATTTGGGTCAATAAATCATCCCTACATTTTAAGTTAGGTGTAAGAAATCTCTGAAGTTTTTCTTTTTTTTTGTTGTTTTTTTTTTTTAAGATTTTATTTATTTATTTGAGAGAGAGAGAATGAGAGAGAGAGAGCATGAGAGGGAAGAGGGTCAGAGGGAGAAGCAGACTCCCCGCTGCGCAGGGAGCCCGATGCGGGACTCGATCCCGGGACTCCAGGATCATGACCTGAGCTGAAGGCAGTCGCCTAACCAACTGAGCCCCCCAGGTGCCTTTCTGCCCACATTGGAATAATTATTTATAATTTTGTGTTTTTTTTTTACTTCTATTGGGATAAATATACATAATTGAAAACTTAGCATTTTAACTATTTTAAGTGTATGGTTCACTGGTATTAAGTATATTCCCAGTCTTGTGCAACCATAACCACCACCCACCTCCAGAACTTAGTCATCGTCCGAAACAGAAACTGTGTTCATTAAACACCAACTCCCCATTCTCCCCTCCGGAGCCACAGCCCCCGGTAACCGCTCACCTATATTCTCTCTAAATTTGCCTTTTCTAGAAGGTGCCTAATGCAAGTGAAATCAGACGGTATTCTTTCATGACTGGCTTGTTGCTCTTAGCATGATGTTGTCAGGGTTCATAGCGTGTGTCAGAATCTCATTCCTTGTAGAGGCCTGGATAATATTCCGTTCTATAAATACACGACATTCTATTTATCTGTTCATCTGTTAACAAACACTTGGATTGTTTCCACTTTTTCTCTCGTGAATAATGCTGCTGTGAACATTTGTGTACAGGTATCTACTTGGGTTCTTGCTTTTCGTTCTATGTACAAGTGGAGTTATTGGAATTTACTTTTTATTTATTTTGAAATAGTTTTAGTCTTAGGGAAAAGTTGCAGAGAGAGTACAGAGTTTGTGTTTAACACCTTCATCCAGCTTCCTCTGATGGTAACACATTACAAAGCTACAGTACAATTATCAAAACTAAGAAATGAACCCTGGTATCACAGTGTTGTCTAAACTACAGTCTAATTGGACTTCGCCATTTTTTTCCACTAACATCCTTTTGCGGTTCTGAGATCCAGTCCAGGACCCCACATTGCATTTACCTGCCGTGTCTCCTTAATCTCCTCCAGTCTGTGACACTTCTTCAGTCCTTCACTGTCCTTCACGACCGTGACACTTTGAAAGAGTCCCAGTTGGCCTTTTTGTAGGCCCTTGCCCACTTTGGATTTGATGGATGTTGTCTAAAGGTTAGTTTGAGATGACGCATTTTTAGCAAGAATGTCACAGAAGTGGTATGGCCTTCTCAGTGTGTCATATCTGAGGGGGGGGCATGATATCACTCTTAATTACTGGTTCAGGTAGTGCCTGCTGGGTTTCCTCACTATAAAGTTACTATTTTTCTCTATATTGGAAAAAATATTTCGAAACTATGAAAATAGTTCTGGTTCTCTTCAAACTTTTGCCCATTTATTTTTACCATGTGTCGGCAGATCTTGCCTACAACAGTTATTATGGTAGTTCTAATGGTGGGTTCACCCCTCATTGTGATTTTTTTTGAATACGTGAAGAGCTAAGAAACCTGTCTTTTCTCATTGCTGTTTCTATATATGAGCCTTTGGGAAATGATCAGTCAAAAGTATCTTAGACTACATTGGCAACTGGCACCTTTTTGTTATTAGTAATTCTAAAGATTTTGATGACACTTTGTTACAACTATTTTTTCCTGAAAAAAAAAAAATGAGGACCCTCATACACAGTCCATTTCCCAGTGAGTGCTGTAATGTCACTGAGATCAGACCAGCCAGTGTTAAGTTACTGAGGAAAGGATTTTCATCATTTCCTGTCCATTGTCATCACTTAGTAATGTGCTTCGCAGTGAGGTGGTGGAGGCTTTTCATTCTTCATGGCATAAGAGGAGAATAGGCGTTAGAGCTGCTCCCCGCCCCCCGCCCGGGTGCTTGGTTCCTCCCATCCCCTCAGATGATTCTGCCTGTGCTTAAATGGGACTCTAGTTAGAATGACACTGTGGGGTCCTCTCAGTTGCTCTGAAAGTGACCTCACACGGATGGTTCCATCAGTCCTGGGCTCCCACAGGAGGGCTGGGATGCCAAAGGTCAGTTGACAGATGTGCGCTGTGTCCCCAACAGGGTCCAGGGTACTAGCTGCTGCATTGGGGAAACTTACCAAGACCCATTTCCTGTTTTCCAGGAGCTCGGGTTTTGATACAGAAAGAAATAGCGAAGTCAGTCGAGGAGGGAGTGTCAACCTGGAATCGTGCCAGGTGGAGAATGTGCTGGGTTAACTGAAAGGGGGATGGTGGCAGAGCTGTGCTATAAAGGGAAAGCAGGAGATGGGGGTCGGGTTCAAGCTTAAAAGGCATGAATGTTGATGAGTTGGAGGGAAATCCCGAGAAGGTCACTCTGCTTTATGCAGGAGGGCAGGTTCCATCTGATGTCTGTCTCCTTCTCGGCGGGAGACGGTGCAGAGAGCAGGCTGGGAGCCAGCTTTGGGAGGACCCAGTGAACTTGACCTCAAGGCCAGGTGGGCCACCCACTCTGCTTTTTCAGCCCACAAAAGCCACAAAATCCCCCTAACCAAAGCCGCTTTTCATTGGGAGAGTGCTATCAACAGTCCTTGAGAAGCCCAAGGGTCAAAAATCCCTAGAAATCAATTATTCTTTTTTTTATTCTGCAAATGGAAAAATTTTAAGCAAAGTGGACATAATTACAAAGCTATTTTTTGTGCCCTTGCTAGTTTTCCCAGTTAAGCAACAATTGATCCATATAAATCAATCTGTATAAATTGCATATATGTCCCTTCTTTGCCTTGGAGACAAAAAGTCTAAATTTCTACATGACAGTTTTGTCTTATTTTTATCTTTTACATTGGACCAATTTTTAAAACCACGATGTATACTCAAGGGAAAAAGTCCCATATGTCTTAAGTAATGTGGTCGGTTCAGGTTATACTTTCAATGTGATATAAATTGGATTTTTATCTTTATATTGGGAAACACATTAGTAGGTTCTTAATCAGTATTTGGACATTTTGTAAACCATTAGAAATTCTCTGGCTTCAGGGTTTTTTTCCATAAAGAGAACTCAGGTTCTCCTTAGAAATTTAATAGCCGCTCTGTAGTAATGTCTCATATTTAATAAGATTTTCATTACTTTTACAAACTATACTCCAGTAAGTTTACTGATTGATATACAATGAAGTAGCTCAGATCAGACGGTTCTCAATAAATTAACAGGGAGGAGCATAACATTCAGAGGGGAAATAATGAATTACAAAATGCCTTACTCGTTAAAATTAAGTAACCCTCAGTAAATGTAAATGAATAAAATGATAATGGCTCGGCATTCTGTATTTTCCAAGGGCTTAGAGCAACCTTGCAAATAAGCAAGGACCTTATAAAGGGGAGGGGAGGGAGACTGCCAATTTGTAAGTGGCTGCATAGTGACATTGATGGCAACTTTAATTTACCCCCTGATTCCACTGGAAGATTGAATCAGCTTGTTCTCCAGGCCACCAAGTGAAAACGGGGTGACATTTTGCTCGTCTTCAGAAAAGCTCTACTGCAGGCGTAAATTCAATCCTGGGATTTTTTTTTTTTTTTTTTAGTTTGGCAAGTTTTAGGAGCGTGATTAAAAGACTGGAGTTTACTTCGGGCTTCTTTTTGCCTTTGTCTTAAGAACCCTGTAGGTACTGTAAAATTGTCATCTTCCTTTCCATCCAAAGCTAATGCGTTGTTGAAGGACCTCAATTTGAATTTGCTCTGCCACTTCCTGGCTGTGTGGTCTTGCAGAATTGTAAACCCCTGTAAATCTCAAAATCCTGATTGATACACTAGAAACGTGATAAATAATGAATATGTGGGTCATCAGCACAGTGCCTGAGCCAGCCAGGGGCTTCACTGATATGTGTTGAATCTAAAACGTGTGCTGAGAGGAAAAAAAGAGAAAAGGGTGCTTCCCCAGCTCCATGAGGGGCTGTGGTCCCTCTGTAGGTTCTATCACTGAACACGTGGCTGAGCAAAGGAAGAGGGTACGTGTCAGAAGAATGGGGAACTGAACAGGCCAGCGAGGGGCATAATTCTGGCATAGGAAGCAGGAGCAAAGTCTAGGATATTTTCTCCTCAGAATCATGATTTCCAGGGGCGCTTGGGTGGCTCAGTCAGTTAAGCGTCTGGCCCTTGAGTTCAGCTCAGGTCATGATCTCAGGGTCCTGGGATCGAGCCCTGCGTCAGGCTCCACACTCAGCAGCCAGTCTGCTTAAGAGTTTCTCTCTCCCTCTGCCCCTCCCCCACTTTCTCTCTCTCTCTCTCTCTCTCTCTCTCTCTCTCTCTCTCTCTCTCTCTCTCCCCCCCCCTCCCTCCCTCCCTCTCCCCCTCTCTCTCCCTCTCTCTCAAATAAATAACTCTTCAAAAAGAGAGAGAGAGAATCATGATTTCCATGAGAGAGGGTACCAGTGACAGCTGGGAGCTGAGGCCCGGTAACTTAAACTCTGGGTTTCCTGCCCTAAGTATTGCGCGCACACAGTTGGTGAGGTAGAATACGAAGAATGGTGGCTCGGAGTGAGATGGAGAGAGGCCAGTTAAATCATCCCATCCTCTGTGTATACTGGAGTCTGAAGAAAAAGAGAACCAGCTTCACCTCTAAAGAAACAGCCTCAACCCTACCAGACCCAACACCTGTATTTCTCCCACAAATATATTGTAAGATCTACTTTTCTGTCCTGAAATAAAATTCATAAATAATATACCCTGCCTACATATGTAATTTCAAAAAAAAAGAAGAATAATTCCCTAGCTCTAACATAAAGGAAAATAATTTGCAATAAGGAAATGCGTATTTCGGTATGTATATATAGTCCAGGAATGTTACGCCGTACCCAAGAGCTGTAGCAGAAAACATGTCTCATTCCTCCTTACCGTGAGGAAGTTTGTACTTAAGAAGAATAAAACGTTCAGCTGAGTATGGTTAGCCTTTATTTGGTAAAGGCTTATGGTTGCTTATATGTGATATTATAAAAGAGAAGCTAAGTTAAAAAGTGCCTATACAGGGGCGCCCGGGTGGCTCAGTCGTTAAGCGTCTGCCTTTGGCTCAGGTCATGATCCCAGGGTCCTGGGGTCGAGCCCCACATCGGGCTCCCTGCTCCACGGGAAGCCTGCTTCTCCCTCTCCCACTCCCCCTGCTTGTGTTCCCTCTCTCGCTGTGTCTCTCTCTGTCAAATAAATAAAATCTTAGAAAAAAATCCTTAAAAAATAAATAAAAATAAATAAAAAGTGCCTATACATATATATATGTATACATACATATACAATTGCCGTTCATGTGAGAGCTACAAATACAGACCGATTCAGGTATGTTGTAATGGAGACTCGCCTCATCTGAGTGACATTGACTCGGCTGCCCTGATTTTTCCAAAGTGGTTAACAGCTTATGGGTGAAGTTCCTAAGAAAACAGAGTACAAACATCCCTTGATTTACATGGTAATTACATTCCTGGGAAACTGAATGTATATCAAAACTGTGCCAAAGAGTTGGATTCTGTGACCCATGTGGAAGCCCTGCGGGGCAGGTGGAAGCTGAATGGGGAGCGGACGGCCCGCCTCGTGCAGGACTGTAGCGCCTCGTGAGCCATCTGCAACCCCTGGTCCTCCGTCATAGGTTTGGGCGCAGCTCAAGGCCGCACCCCCAGTCTTTGGGAGAACTGAAAATGCTCTCACGAATGTCCAGAAAGCTCCCTCCCCATTACTCCCTGAAAGGGATACAAGCATAAAGGTGGAAGCCAGTTTGGGTGGTAAATTTAGCTATCGAAGGAAGGACCCTTCAGGAATGGAGAGTCACCAGCTTTCATCCTGGGTTTCTTTGGACCCTTTGTTCTTAAAATAAAACCTCCGAATTTAGGGCTTTGCTGAATCCGGATTGTTTTTATCAGTATTAAGGTTCCAACATGATGCTAATGATTCGTCCTGAAACCATTCCAAAATTCTCTGTCTTTCTGGTGGTCTTACTGCTCTTTCTTCACATTTCATGTGTCATTACTCATCTTCCTATGACTTCAAAGCTTTTGGCTTCATGATAATTTTCTCATGCTTACCTGTGTGTCCTAATCTGTGTCTTGTTAACAGATACTGGTTTGACCAAGGTGATTTTCAGGGCTGGGATATGACCAAGAGTTAACTGTTCCACTGCATCTTGGTGCATCTTTGGGGGTCGGAGCCACCCGTAGCAGCCACTGTGGCACCCAGTTTTGACATTTCCAAGTGGGGTTCAAGATGTGGGGCTCTCACTCCTTCATTGTTCTCAACTTACAGGTCGTCAGGAGGTTTTGATCATCAAGGAAGGACAAAAATGTCTTGTTAGCTACGCAAATACAATGCCATAAAAAGCATAACGCTTCATCTAGCACGGAAGGCTTAAAAAAAAAAAAAAAACCGTGAGACTGAGCTGCTTTGTCTTTCTCTTCCAGCTGACATCCCAGCATCCTTATGCTGAAGTTTTCATCGGCCAGCCCCACGTTTGGACGGTTGACCTCAGCAATCAGGAGGAAGTGGGAGATGCTGTGAAAGCAATTTTAAGTCAGAAGGTTGTGTCTTTTTTTCCGTTTTTCCCCATCTGTACTGTGAACTGAAATGTGTGGAAAGCCTCACAGGCCCTCTGGTCGAATGATTAGAACATTTCCACGTCAGCTTAACTCTGAGATTAGAAAAGAGCCACAGCGTAGGATTTGGCCTAGGGAGGGTTCATGGGTGCACTGGAGGGTGGGAACAGAGCCGGTGCCCCTGTGTGCGTGGATTCTCCAGAACATTTTGGCATGACTGCTGGGTCCCAGATACAATAGTAGGAGGTTGAATTACATTTGTTTCACTGCTTAATGATGGTCGCTCTCACAGAGATCAGAAAACACAAACCTGTTCCCCTACCAAAAAGTAAGTATATTAAGGAGCTATTAAGGAAATACTGGGAAATGTTTTTATATAGCGTTCATTCATGTGACTTTTTTTTACCTGAACATCTTAATGGAATTTTGTATTTATAAGTAACTGACATCTCTGGATTCTCCTGATCAAGTTAGCAGACATTTATTAAGTACCTACTGTAGGCAGAGCACCCTCTGAGCCACTTTAGGGGACACTCACTTCCATAAACATAATTGAGGCTGGCTCCCAGCCTGTAGGAGGCTTACTGCCCAGTGGGGATGGACCAAGTTAACCTCTCCCAACCCACCCGACTGCCTTCCACACTATTGGGTGCATTCTGCTCTCTGTACTCCTCCTACTAGAACACGATACTCTGTTAACAGTTATTTAGGAGAGGCGGTATAGGCATGGTTGTAAGGAGTACGGGCTGCAATTAGCTTGGGGCTGGGGTTCCAGCCCTACCACCTACTAGTAGCGTCCCCTCAGGCAGTTACTTAACCTCTGAGTCTTAGTTTCTTCATCTCTTTAAGTAGTAGTACCTACTATATAGGTATTTGTAAAGAGTCAATGAGATAATGAATATAAAGCCCTTAAGTGGAAATCTACCACATAGTGAGTGTTTAGTTGTTTTTATTAAGTCATTATTAGTATTATAGATATAATATTCTTATTTTTGTGATCAACAGTCTGGATTTACACTATACTGTCAGCAACATGAGGGCTGGAAATATGTCTCTCTCACTGCTGTACTCTGTACCCAGCATAGTGATTCACCTAATGGATTGAGAGAGGGAGGGATAAGTATTTGCCGGATGTGTTCAGTGCCAACAACAACATGCAAAAGATGGAGAAGTGGACATTGGGGGAAGCTTTCTGGAAAGTGCAGCACCGGGTTAAGTCTTTTAGGAAGAGTAGGAATTTGCCAAGCTGAACTGAGAAGTGGACCCAGAAGGACATGGGTTCAAGGCACAGTGTGAGTAAAGGGGAGGAGGCTGAGTAGAGTGTGGCCCCACTGGGTTGCCTCAGAATATCTGCCACACAGCCAGAGCTTCACCACCAGAGAGTCATTCCTATGGAGGCTGATGGTTCTGTCTTTCTTTCTTGAGTCCCTGAGTCCCTTAGGGTATTAGTTTCTCAGGACTACCATAACAAAGAACCACAAACTTGGTGGCTTTAACAAGAGAAATTTATTCTCTCACAGTTTCAGGGACTAGAAGTCCAAAATTAGGATGTTGGCAGGACCGTGCTCCCTCCAAAGCCTGTAGTGGGGGATTCTTCCTTGCCTCTTGTATCTTCTGGTGGCCCCAGGCTTTCTTTGACTTGCAGCTGCAGCACCTTGACCTGTGTGTGTGTGTGTGTGTGTGTGTGTGTGTGTGTGTGTGTGTGTGTGTGTGTGTGTGTGTCTGTGTCTGTGTCTGTGTCTGTGTCTGTGTCTGGGTCTATTTATCTGTCTGTCTTTTCCATTGTTAGAAGGACATCAGTCACACTGGATTAGGGCCCAGTCTAATTGGGACCTCATCTTAACTTGATTACATCTGCAAAGACCCTATTTCCAAATGAGGTCACATTTATAGCTACTGAGAGTTTGAACTTGTGCATTTTCTTTTTGAGGGACATAAATTCAACTCACAACACTTGGTTAAGTGCACATACCCTTGAAAAATAAGTAACTTAAAAGGTAACGTAGAGGCAGAAAATCTTGGATCATGGAGTACAAAACTTTTTAGGCAATAGATCCCTTTTGTCAAACAAAAATCTAATGGGAATGCTTGATACAGAAAGCACAGAGTGAGGCACTAAGTTGTATTTGCTCATTGCTACATGAGATAGACTCTCTTCACTCCATGGAACCTCTAGTGCTCTACATTTTAAAACTCTGATCGACCTTTATCCACCTTATTCCAAAAATTATTCAAGACCACGTGAGAAAAAAAGTAATTATAATAGTAGCTCTTATGTAGAGAGAACCTCTTTCTACACATCTAGAATCTCTCTATATCTTTATGAGCCTTACCTCATTTAATCGTTATCTCACATAATTCTTCTATAGATAAAAAGATTGAGGTTTAAAGAAATTAAGTAATTTACCCAAGATCACACAGCTAGTAAGTAGTAAAACCTGGATTGAAGCCTAGGTCTTTTTGACTACTGTGTTAAGATAATATAAAACTTAGAAAGGAAAAGAAATATGGAAAGAAGTAAAGGGAAAGATATGAGTGGGAATGAGAGGTTAAGTAAGTAATGAGATTAATACAAAAACTATTGTCCTTAAAATCCTTACGCTTGTTAGAAATGGGTCAGAAATTTAGTTCCAGGCTTTCTTATGTTTAATTACAAGATTTTAAATTACATGACACTCAAAAAGGCAAGGTATAAGGACCCATCATTAAGAGAGGAAATAGTCATTAAAACCAGACCCAGGGATGGCCCAGATGTGTTGGAATTTATTAGAAAGCAACTTCAGAATGCTCAGATAAATATATTAGAAGGTTTGGTGGAAAAGGTGGACAGTATATGTGAACAGATGGAGAATTTCAATAGAAAGCTAGAAACTTTTTCTCAAAACCAAAGGAAAAAAATGCTAGAACTGAAAAAATAATTGGAAATGAAGAACTCTTTCAGTGGCCTTATCAGCAGAGTGTACACAGTGGAAGAAAATATCAGTGAATTTATCAATATCTTATCAAGATACTGACTTATCAAGAGAAATTTTCCAAATTGAAACAAAAAGAGAAAAAAGAATGAAATTAAGAAAAAACATATGAGACTTATGGGACAATATCAAACAGCCTAATTTATGTATAATTGGAATCTCAGAAGGAGGAGTGGATAGTCAGAAGACATATTTGAAAAGATAATGGTTAAGAATTTTCTGAAATGAATGAATGACATCAACCTGCAGATCCTGGGAGCTCAGTGAACTCCAAGCAAGATAAATATGAAGAAAAACAAATATACATCATTGGCAAACTGCTAAAAACAAAAAATTAGGGGAAAAAATCTTGAAAGCAGCCAGAGAAAAATTTATTACACTTAGGGGGATAACAGTATGAAAGACCTCCAACTTCTCATCAGAAATAATGGAGACCATAAAAAAGATCCCTTGGAGGCAGAATGTGTAGGGCCTTTAAAACAGGTCATGCTAAGAATTCTGGATTTTTATTTTAAGTATGACGGGAAGTTTTGAGCAGGGGAATGGTATGACCTAGTTTACATTTGGAATCATCAAGAGAAATTGCAGAATATGTCCAACCTAAAATCCTCTGGTTAGTAGATAGAGGAGACAGGACCCAACTTCTGGTCTTCTGGTACCTTCTAAGACCACCTCTCATTGAGTGATGCCAAGCCACCTCTGTCCAGGGTCAGCTGATCTCTGAGATTAGTTCCCTGTAGGAATTGTACTCGGACTTAGAGCAGTGAGCGGGTACTAGAAGAGACAGGACATCTCACAAGAAGGGAGATAAAGAGAAAAGGAAGGAAAAGGTGGGAAGATAATGGAAGGTTTCCGGGGCCAGCAGGAAGTACACAGTGTAGCCTACAGGCTTCCTTCCTGTGGCCAGGTGAGTAGCTGTCCTTTTTCCTGTTTCTCCACAACTGGCCCCACTTGGGTTTCTCCATAACTGGATGTGCTCTCAGCATTCCCTTTCATTCCATTCCACAGGGAGGCCTTGACTTGTTCCTGAAGGATTATCATGCAGAAAATTATCCCAGGCCCCCTGCCCCAGTCCCCACAATAGCTCCTACCTCAGAGGCTTGCCAAGGTTCTTTTATATCCAAAGCCAGGAGTCTGGAGAACTTTCCCACACAAAGGGCCCTGTTTCTGTCCACAGCAGGATGGCTAGTGGAACCCATTGGCAGGGGTGGTTTAAGAATACAATTACCTTATTTTTTTTATTTATTTATTTATTTATTTATTTTTTATTTATTTATTTATTTATTTAGGTTTGCTTTTCCTTTATAGGAAAATCATTTGGCTTCATATTATTTAAAACAGTGAATAGGCCACCAAGCAATTAATGAGTCAGCATCCCTTTGGTTAAATTGGGTTTAGTTGGTAGGAGAACACAAGGAAGAGCCATTTTTCTGTATTTATTGCATTTGAAATAATTTATTGCCCTTTCAGATAATTCATTTCCATTTCTAAAGAATTTCTAAAGGATGCCCTTTGTAATAAGTTGTAGGAATGGCCCCTGAATATTCAGCCTCCTTCCTACCACATAATTGGATCTGTTGATGTCATGACAGATGGCCACCAATGGTTATTTCACTCCAGAAATTCTACTTGTCACCACGTAAATGAGCCTGATATGCCAAGTCCTCTGTTGTGGTTTCTTTCTGTTCCTTCTGTGAACCTTTGAGAGGAGACCTATCTGTAGGCCAGTCCTAGTAAGCCGCTGGAATCACCCACAGGTTGAGTAAATAAATATCCTTTGAAAGGAAAGAAAAATTTTGCCCTTGGTCTGAAGAGCTATGTCTGGGTTGGAAAGGGCACAGCATGTGCAAAAGCTTGAGGGTGAGAAGGAGCAGGCATGCAACATTGAAGTCAGTTTTCTAGGTAGTTTGAGCTCTTCTGAGGTGATCTGTTGAGGAGCGAGATGACCTGCGTTCTTGCAGAGTAGTCCTGCCCCGATAGTATCATACTTATGGCTCAGCCTCTTTTAGCTCTCTCTGGACGGATGTAGGCAGGGATGGCTGAGATAAAACCTGTGTGATGCATTATATGATTGTGGATTTGAAGATATATTATGAAATTAATAGTCATGGTTAAAGAAGAGTTCACGTGTAATGTGTGAATCGACACCAAAAAAGGGGAGGAGGTGCCCTGTGCCCAGCTGCTTGGCTGCCCACGGGAGGATGACTTCTCTGTCCACTGTCCCATTTTCCACAGGCCTCAACTCACAGGTGTTCTCTCCAGCTCTCCACCCTGTAAATCTGAGATGGGCAAGTGTAGGCCTAAGCGACGGCCCTCTATCTTATTGCTCCCAGGTGCCCTTGGGCTCTCTGAAGCTGTCAGACTAGATTGCTAATGATTTTGTCCCAAGTGCAAAAGTAAAATTTCCATTTCGGATTGGTAACGCCTGCTGGATGCCCCCAAAACACAAGCCTCATAGTGTTGGCACACACAGTGTGCAGCAGAGATCAAACCCACACGTCTTCGCCTTCCCCAGGGGTCCAAACAGTGATCACATTGCCTCCCCCACCCCAGAGAAGCACCTTCTGGGATTTCCTCCTGCCTTCAAATAAAGCTTGGGCTCCTCAGTATAGAAATCCTTTTGTGTAAATCCGGTGAACCTCTTCCCAGCCTTGTCTCTCCAGCCTTTGCAGTCCCAAGCTCTACCCACCTGCTGTTCTTCTTGCCTGTCTCACCTCCTACTACTCGCTCTACCTGGAATGGCTTCCACATCTTGGCTTGCTGGAATCCTAGCTGGCTTTAAAAGCCCAGCATGAGCGGAAGTCTGCTTTGACCTTATAGCCTCGTGGGCCCCTTGGCTGAACTCTTTGTGGCACTTTGTGACTCTGTTTCTGCCCCACAAGTTCTTTAGGTATGTGCTAACCTCACCTACAAGTGCAGACCAGTGCTTTTGTCACCATCCTGGGTCCTTAACCACTCATGCCGTGCCCTTCCCATAACATTGAGCACGCACCCATGCCGCAGGTGTTTGCTGTGTTCCTCCGTGAGCCCCACAGCCCCGCGGCCATGGAGCCTGCCCTGTGGAGCTTAACCTCTAACCAGTGATACTCCCCACCTTTTGGGGAATGCCTACTGTATTCTAGACACCAAACTAAGCATTTTACTTTTTTTTTTCTTTTCACATAACCTTCACCAACAGCTTAAAAGAGGTAGATTTTTCCTCTCTCGGCTGTTTGGCACATGAAGAACCTGAAGCTCAGAGATGGTGGGTGATTTGCTCAGGGTCCCACAGCTGGTGAGGAACAGAGTGAGCCTGTAAGCCCAGGTCTGTTGACATCCGAGTTCATAGTCGTAGCCCCTCTTGAGGCACGTGAGTGTGCGTGAATCAGGGGAGGACTGGGTAAGTGTCCTAGGTTCTGTGTCCTCCTCTTTCATGATACCATGTTCTATTTCCACAGATTGAGCCATACATGCCATACGAATTCACATGTGAGGGAATGCTACAGAGAATTAATGCTTTCATTGAAAAACAGGTAAGGCTCTTCAGAAGCCCTTTTATCCCATCACCCCAGGGGGCTCTCATGAACAGCTAAGAGCTCACCGTGTTTCTGTGGTTATTTTCCTGCTTTGGAAGACTCCAGAAGCTGGATAATGGCTTGATGGAATTTTGAAGCATGCACTATCATGGTCACCCAAGGGACTTAGTCTGTCCTTGGGTTAAGAATGTTCTTTTTGGGGGCACCTGGGTGGCCCAGTCACTTAAGCATCTACCTTTGGCTCAGGTCATGATCCCAGAGTTCTGGGATTGAGCTCAACAGGGAGCCTTCTTCCTCTCCCTCTGCAGCTTCCCCTGCTTGTGCTCACACTCTCTCTCTCTCTCTCTCTCAAATAAGTAAATACAATCTTAAAAATAAAAAAAAAGAATGTTCTTTATGATGGTGGAAGGTCAAAATGGAAACTTCGAATGGGAGAGACTGGATGGTCAAGGTAAAGCCCTCCTGAACCATCAGACCTGTGCCCTGAATGGGTTCGGAGGGACATCGCGAGGACTTGGGTGGGGAGAGGGCAGAGAGATGGTTCACTGGTCCTGCCTGATCTTCGTCTCCCACCCTAAGAACGGCAGGGGCTGAAACCAGGGGTTTCTGAGCATTCTTTTAATACATGTTCAATAATTCCAAATATGTTAGGACTTTTTAGTGGTGTTCAAATATCTTTTCAAACACGACCCCTTTTCAAACGAAACTTTACATGAAGGCTAAGCATAAAACAGCTAAAAGGAGGGTTTCAGTGCTAAAGTGGGGTGGGGGGTCCAAGAGTCCACCGCCCCCAACAGAGCTTGCAAACTCTGGCTTATGCTTGTGGCAGTAAAGGCCAAGAGCACCATTGGCATCCTTCTGTTTCCTTAGTCCTCAAAAGCAGCTCAGAGCTACAAATAGACAGATTCAGAACCCCTGTGGGCAGGGCAGTATGAACTCCTTGACCACATTTCAGGAACAGGGGTCTCCTTTTAAAAGGCAAAGCAGAGTGTCTTAGAATGATCAAAAGATCTTTACACAATAGGGGGTGAGGACTGTGCAGGCTGAAATAGCAATGGTGTGTTAAAAATGTAAGTAGGTGTAGACTGGAGGTCCCAGGTAGGTTCCTAAGGGAAGGTTTGCGGCGACAGGTTGGAGAGCCCTGGGCAGTCCTGGATGCTGCTATTGAAGAGGGAGAGCAGTGGGCACAGGCTTCAGGGTGGCGTGTCTGATATTCTGGGTGCCTGTTCATGGCCAGAGGCCATGCTCTGCAGCCCTGCCATCTGAGTTCACAATTTTTTGGTTTTATGATTTGGGTGCGTTACTCAGCCTCTCTGGGCCTTAGTTTCCTCTCCTGTAGAATAAGGGCAATAGGAGACCTCTTAGGGCAGGAAGTGCATAGAACAGGGCTGGCGCATAGTGCTCCATAAATGCAAACTGATATTGTTGATTACCTAATAGATGATATTATGTATCCTATCACAGTGTATAATTATATTGTGATGTCATATAATACAGTATAATATGACTCACCCGACTTTACCACAAGAGCTAAGCATCTGAATCATCGCTTCATTCAATCTTATGTAGTGCCTTGATTGACGGTGACCACATCAGCACCCTAACCCGGGCAATCTTTTACGTGCCGACTGCACTGCAGTGCGTACTGAACACGTCCCAGTGCATTGTCTCACTCAGTCCTCACAGCCCAGGAGGTGGCACGAATAGCCCCACGCTCTGGATGATGGGGACCGAGATTTGCGGTCGTGGGCTCACACGTTGTGGACTCCGGGTTTGATGCTGGTTTGGTCTGAGCGCAAGCGTGTCCTAGCAGGCAGGGGCCGGTGTGTGGAGCTGGACTTCCCGCCTTCATTCACCTTCCTGCAGGTGCCGAGAGGAGCTGCTGCTTCTCCTCTGGCAGGGAGTTTTAAGCTCTCCTGCCTCTTACCACCATCACAGGAATCAAGCTGAGATTGTACCAGGGTCCCCAAAGCCGCTTCTGAAACCCACTTCCTCCTCTCCTGTCTCCACTTCCTCTCAGGGAAGATGCTTACTCACCACCACGTAGAAGACTCTTTATCAAGTTTATCTGAAGACTCTTGAATCACAGCCAGTCCTTTAAAGTTCTCATGTGGCCCGTTGTCTATAAATCTATTACCAGCTTTCCTTTCCAACAGGAAGGTGCCATTCCCCACAGTGACCTGGCATAATGCTCCATAATGCAGGAGCATCCCTGGTCCATTCACCCCCATACCCCAAGCACCATGCCCGACACACAGTAGGTACACAGTAACTCCCATTTGAAGGAGAGTGTGTGCACGTGCCTGTACTTTTCATTCATGTGTCCCAGGAGCCAGAAAGCTCATCTTGGACTTTATGATTTGGGATACACGCTGATAAAACTGAGCTGCCCACTAGCTCCTCAGCACAGACCCCTGCAGAGCCCACAGTTCTCAGAAATCCAGAGCTTTCTCTTTTGCCTGCTATGGTTGATTCCCCCGTCCACTGGGTAAATGTCTGTCAGCTAGAGTGCACTGTGGACTGGGCTGGGGGGTCGGGAAGATGTCAGGGGATGAGTCTCCATTCTCAGGTAGCTTCGGGCCTCCCAGAGAAGCCAGTCAGGCCCACAGGCAATGCCACCGCCATAGGGTTGGGCCCTGTAACAGTGATGTCACCAGGATGCTTAGGGATCGCACCACTCAGCCTGCAGAGTGGGGAAGGGGGAGAGTTGGGGAGAGGGTGTCCAGCAGCATTTTGTGGAAGATGAGCCCTGACAGCAGACTGAGGGGGTATGAGAAGGACTGTACAGATCAAGATGTAAAGGCCTGGGGGAAAAAAGAGAAAGTATGGTGAGGTATGGGAAATTTAACTGTCACCTAAGAGATGTGATGTAAGAGACAGGGCTAGAGGAGGAAACACTTCATGAGAAGATGCTGAGGCTCGGCCGAAAAATGCAGGTTTGACTGTGAGACAACAGGAAGCTCAAGGGTGTTAATGCAGGATGAGGGCAGTGAGACTCTCAGATTGGTATTTTAGGAAAATCCTTCTAGGAACCTTGTGTGGGGGTCATTTCCTATTAAGCATTCTCTCGGTGCTGCTACACAAGCCAGAAAGAGGCCGATTTTGAGTTTATCCCAGGCCTCACAAATCCTGGAGGGATTTGTTGAAGCCATAATGTTCCCCCAGCTTTAGAGGGGAGGTGGGAAGTCAAGACCCCATTGAGTCACAGGTTGGGGCTTTAGCCTCTAACAGTTCTCTCCAGGTCTCAGTATTTTAGAGCTCAGGGTGTTCGTTATTTTTGCAGCTAGAATATCATCAAAGAGCAGGGAGACTGGAGTGAAGGGTGTTTCTGGTGTGAACGGAAAGCCTCGAGCTCTGAAGATTGGTGGCAGCTCAAGTTTCCCGTCCCTGGAACTGTAGGAGCGCTGTAGCCCTAATTAGGCTGATCTCTGCCTTCAGAGTCTTCCGTGTGATCTGCAAGGGGAACAAGGAAGCTTTTATCTCAGAACCTTTTCAAGGTTGTCCATCATCCTCACCCAAGGCCACAGGAGCCAGGGGAAGCCAATTGACAGCAGTTGAGAAAGCCCCGGGCTTCAGTGTTCCGTTGAGCGGTTGACCGCTGGAAGTCTACCTCATACCCAGCCAATCCCGGGCTCTCTCACCCAGTGGGAAAGAGTCCTGATTGAGGGAAACCACTTGCTTTTTTCCCTTAATGCCCCTGCCCTGCCCACACCACCATTGCTTTGCTGTACTGGAAATGTTGATTGGAGTTGCGTACTCTTCCAAGTCAGCGCTCTGTAAGAAGTGCTCTCTCCAGGAGCCGGGAAGGAACTGGGGCAAAAATCCCTTGTAATCTCAGATCAAGAGCATTATCCTTCCCTAACCTGAGTGTCCAGGCCTGTTAAGGTTCTCATGATGCATTTCTTGGGAAAGATTTAGGTATTTGCCTCAGGCCAGAGAGTATAGAACGTGTTCTTTTGAAGGAATGGCAATGTTCAGGTTGCTTTTTGAAAACCATGCGTATGTCCCTCATTCCTATTTTCTGTACTTCCTGTAAAGATCCTGTAAATGTACAGAATGATTATGCTCACATTATTTTGCAAAGAGCTGTATAATTCATGTGAAAAGCATTCTGGCGATATGGAGGGAAAAAGGAGTTAACCTTCAGAGCCACTGTGGAATCAGCTTCAGCTCCTAGGAAATCTGGCTTATCTGAGCCCATCTTGAACTCCCCAGCGAGTGTTCTAGATGCAAGGACAAGCCCGGTAGTGAATCCGGATAGTCCAGGGTAGCAAGGAGTGGTGGTGGAGGAGACAGGTTGCAGGGGAAGAGGAAGAGGCACTGAAAAGGGGACAGGGTTGGCTTTGCTGTTTGGAGAAGTGGACAGCTGCTGTTGGCCTAGCCATTCCTGATCCCAGAGACACTGGCTGAGGAATGCGTAAGTGCTGGAGCCTGGAGTCTGGCTCCACCACCACTCTCTGTGATCTCGGGCAGGTTCCTAACCTCCCTGTCCCGTTGCTGCTTCTGTGCAGTGGGGATACCACCACCCTCCCCGAAAGGCTGATGGAGGAATCGATAGATTAACTCAGGTGTAGGGCCAAGAGCAATGCCTGCCACAGAGTAGGTCCTCAGGAAGCCTCAGCTACTTGCTGCTGCCGGAACCCGACACCCAACCAAGGTATGCTTTTTAGAGAGCTTTATTGAGGTGTAAGTTACAGACCATAAAAGTCACTCCATGTAAGCATACAGTTAAACAATTTTTTAATCACGTTGATGGAGGTGTGCGATTACCACCAAAGTCTAGTTTTATAGTTTTTGTCACCCCAAAAACCTCCCTTGTGCCTATTTGCAGTCTTTGCCCCAGCCCCTAGGCATCCGAGGTTCTGTGTTCTGTCTCTGGAGATTTGCCTTTCCAGGTGGTTGCTGGCTTCTTTGACTCAGCGTGATATTCATGAGGTTCATGCATGTTCATGTATCAGTACTTCTTTTATCACTATTATTATTCTTCTTATTATTGC